TAAGGCTGCACATCCGTCCTAGGGCTTGGATGTGGCCGAACCGGAGTTGAGGCAAGATTTCTTCATTACGCTCGGATTCCATTAAAGCTTGGAAATCCTCGTAAGTAGGACACATCTCTTGACCGCAAAAGCTAAAGACGTGTGTTATTGTAGACGTCCCCGAACGTCCTGGGAGGGAATCCCGTTTTGTTCATTTGGGCTTACTACAGTTCAGGACTTAATGTCACGGTCTTGTATCTAATCTCACAGAGTGCAATGTAAGACAGATAAATCATCAAAGAGTCCAAATCCGGGAAATCATTTTTTGAAAAACTGATTTTTAGAAAGAAGTGCCAAACATGGACTGCTTTGCCAGATACAGAGTCGCCACCTAAATATTTTATTTTTGGGGGAATTTAGGAAACCCTGACTCGTGCCTAAGGCCACATGTCCATCATCACCAAAAGTTGCCTCGGCTCGGGAACTTGGGTACAATTGGGGAAGGTCACTTCGTGAGCACCCCCGCTCGCCCGATCAAAGATCGGCCTCTACTAACCATGATACCGAGTTTTGAAAACATTATATACTCTTATTCCGATTATTAGCCTAGAATTACTATGTGATGCGCGCAACATACAAGTATAGACTAGATCGTCTAATTTGGAACAAAGCATCACATATCCGTTTTGTTTGGAAAATGGTTTGAAATTTGCTACTCGCAAATAGGCTAAAATGCGGATTTCAATGAATTGTCCCAATTCAAGTAAGCCAACCTTCACCCACAAGCATTCAGGCAGTTTATATCAACTATGTAGTTAGCCTCATGGCAAGCATGTTGTCATGTTAACACTTACACACATGCAAGATGCTAAAGCATAAACACTCACAATGTACTCCGAGCCAAAATAAGAACATGTTAGTAATCAAATGTATGATCCAAGTCCATGTTAAGATGGCTAATGCAACACATATGAAATGCAATTAGAATAGACTCGGCTAATCTAAGATGGCATATGATATGCGGCAATTTGATACACGTATTCAAGTTGGAATTGAAATACTATGCAGTTAGTATGATGCGCCGAGCCCGGTACATGCAATACAAATGAATGAATGCAAACATGCATAGCATAAGGTATGCTAAATCAAATGTCCTAAAACTAACCATCATAAGCGGTTAAATAAAAGGGAGAAAGAAGTGGGGGTTGGAAGACATGTATCACACACACGCACGCTTATTACACAATTGCGCCTTCTCGAGGGAGGGACCGAATAAATAATACAAATCAACTAGCTAATCAACTAACAAGCTAATTAATTAATTACACAACCAAATCGAAATAAATAACCAGTCTAAGTTATTAAAACAATGAAATGGCCTCGAGGTGAGGGATGCATGCATGCTTGTACGGCTTCGCTCGGAAATCCATCGCCATACTCATGCTGCCTCTGTTTACATTGATCTGTACTTCTGAAAACTTCACAAGTCCCAACGAAGCTTCAGAATCACTCTCTGAGCACTGTGAGATGTCACCGACCAAGAGGTGAGGCCACCGACCATGGGGAACTGGTCATCAACCATAAATGGGGCTCTCGGCCGAACATTTATAGTCGGTCGGCACTGAAGATGGTCGGCCAACCATCTTTTTCTGCAGAATCCTGTTTTGCTGCAGCAGAGGACAGACAGAACATGGCAATGCATTTTCAAAACAATGTTTGCACAACCACCCTCCTTATCATGTTTGAGACTCAAAGGAGTATGGTTCTTGACCCTCGGAGCATCAATCACGCATTTCAATGCATGATGGCCCAAGGTGCCAAGTGTGCAAGTCAATATGGAATGAAACGCATATAACACGTAAGGGGGTCCTAACCTCCATCATGGTTGATCAAGAGGCAAGGGATGCATGCTCGATGCTATGCAACCTAAACATGCGAGCATACTAGTGCAAAATGAGCATACAAGCAACAATGTTACACAAGGCAATTAGCATATAACAATATGCAAAGACAAGCATGCAAACAAGCGTGTGGCTTTGTTCAATCATGTAACAACATATTAAGCAACGCAAAACCAAAAGAATGCATGCCAAATGCACTACCGTTTAAGCATGCAACAACATATTGATAGGCCAAGTATACGACAACATGCAAGGCAAGCATGCAACAACATGCAGGAATGGTCTTAAACTAAAATGGGCAGCTCTCGAATAAGCCCAAATCAGCGGCCAAAATGCTAAGGGATAAGGGACAAAACCACATTCAAACATGCATGGTGGTTGGCCTAACACTTAAGCATCAAAGGGAGACTTTTAAGCACACTTAAAAGGAATGAAAGAAAAAAAAAAAAAAAAGCATGCAAATGTGACAACATGTTAAACTCTGAAAACATGCTAGGAATGATGCCAAACCAACTAAACAAAGTAAGCAAAGGGTGCAAGAGAGCCTAAAGCTTGAACCTAGCCGAAGGACTCAAACCAAGGCTACATGAAGCAAGCCCCAAAGGGACAAGGGGACCTAAAACAGTCCTAAATCAAGCTAAAGTGAGCCTAAAACATGCAGTGACCAAACCCAAAACAAGCTAAAATGAAGGGGCAAAACCATGAAGCATGCAAGGCCAACAAAGAGATGTTACACTACACCTAATATAGCCAAACATGGCACGATTTAAGCGACTCAAAACAGAGTTAGGACATGTCAAAATGAGCCCAAAAACTCACTTAGATGGCATCCTAATGACCTAAGCATGATGGCATACACAATGACACATTCATGAGGCATAAAACATAAACTCTTTAAGACATTAAAGGAGTGATAAGTGTAAGTTTATAAGCATGAAATGTGGATTGAAATAACATTCTAAGTGATGCCAAGCCACTGAAATGATCCACATAGAGCATGCTAGCAACTTGGACACTCAAAGCTAACAAGCTAGATTACATGGTAGCTATACAAAACAATGCAAGCATGACCAAGAAGACCAAAATCAGAGCTCAAGCATGCTACAACAAGCCTAAAAGCTTCATGGAGTTGGGCCAAAACATGTAAGCATAGTAGTCTAAATGCTAGGTACATATTAAGGCAAATCATGGGTTTACAAGACAAGTATACAAAGCAAGCATGGCATGTCTAAACCAACTCAAAACAGAGGTGTATCATGGCAAAACAAAGCCTAATACATGTTGAAATGGAGCTAAAACAAACTAAACACACATGCTATCATATAAGCCATTTATGCAAGCATTAAAGACAACAAGGAGAGGGGATAGGTGTACGTTGAGAGAAAGTAAGAAAAGGGTTTTGAGAGAAAAACCGCACCTAAGGGCCGAGTGATGTGAGCAATATATATGTGAGATGGGGTGGGAAACATTATCTGCAATAGTAGTGGACTCCCCGCAAACCTAGCCGTCTCCCGGCGATGAAAAGCATCCAATCCCATCAACGTTTCGGCTAGCGTCATGGCAATGCAGCTTTTGCCCTCTTTCAAGCCCTCGGCGACCTCAATCAAACAAGTGCTAAACCGACCAGAGCCTGGGGCAAGTAAGAAATGAGACTGCATGCACAAGCAAAGCGCATGTCGCCGATAACCCTGCCAATCATGATCGCCGCGGTCATCGGCATCAGAAAACCGACAAACCAAGCTTGGAATGTCCAGCTCCCCATCATGAATCAATGACTGAGCGTCATGCAAAGTAAGGCCGCACATCCATCCTAGCGCTTAGATGTGGCCGAACCGAAGTTGAGGCAAGATTTCTTCATTATGCTCGGATTCCATTAAAGCTTGGAAATCCTTGTAAGTAGGACACATCTCTTGACCGCAAAAGCTAAAGATGTGTGTTACCGGATTCCAAAATCTTGTCGCGGCATAGAGGAACGGAAAACGCAGCGGGGTGTGACTCAACGTGAATAGTGCATTTATGCCGAAGTCCCGAAAATTTAACTTTTCCGAGCCATCCAAGTTGGCAATCCAATTTGTGAGATTTTGGACAAGGAACTCTTCTATTTGGTACAAATCAGTGTTGAAATGAGAAAAATTGCGAAGCTGAGGCTTTTGTAGAAGATAAGGTGTTGAGTGGAAGACAGGTGTCAACATTCTGGAGGTACTTGCCATTTTTGGCCGATCAACCAAATATTGTGCCGACCGACCATTCCTTTTGGCCGATCGGTTAAAAATGTTGGTCGATAGCCATTTCTTGTGGCCGATGGCCTCTTCCCTTGTTCTATGAGCAGTCTATGTGTTGAACATGTTGGGAACTTGTGATTGGTTCCACTTCCAATGCCTTCCGGTGTTGATTTTGCGAAGTCGCACCTATTTGCTTATCGAGTTGTTGTACAATTGTTTATCAAGTTGTAATTTGCATTCTTTAAGTCTTTGTTTTGCTTATCGAGTTGTATTTACACTTGGTTAGCTTGTCAAGGTCTTTGTTTTGTTTAGCGAGTTGTTTTGCTGTTAGTTGGTTCACTATCTGATTAATTGCAATTCGAGTGTTTGGTTTTCAAAACAAAAGTTCAAATCTCATTTACATTGTTATGTAATGCAATGCGATGCGATGCGATGCGTAGAATGTACAAATGTAACACTTTTTTAACAAAAGAGTTGTTTCATTTCAATCATGTTCTTCTTTTGCAAAAAATACATAGTTTTAAGAAAATAAAACCTGCCTAAGGCAGTACAATGTGCTCAAACTACCAGTAAAAAGAAAAGTAAAACAAAAAAGGAAAAGCAACAAAATGTCTGAACAAAGCTAAAAAGAAGAAAAGCAGCAAAAGTCTAGATCAATATCAGTCATCTCGAGTGTGGGAATTCGTTCTGGTCCTTTTCCTGGATGAGGGTCCAGGATCACCGCCGCCAACTTCGTAGTCTGAATATGAGCTATCTCCAGCCTCACCCTGAGATGACTCTACCTCCTCATCTGACTCATCGTCATCTAGGGTAGGCTCTCGCTAACTGTTCTCAGCACGGGCGCGCCTGTGTCTGCCTCGGCTGTGGATCGTCATCTCCCGCCTGACTCCCCCTCCTCCTCAAGTAGGTACAGAAGGTCCAGCTGGAGCACCTCCCGCGGTCGGAATCTGGAATGGGGCCTGAAAAGAACAGTGGGTAAATGCATCAGTCATACTATACAGAGTCAGGTATCAGTACCGAATACAGTGTATGAGTACAGTGTGTGAATGCTGTGAGTAGTGTATCAGTACCGAATGCAGTGTATGAGTACAGTGTATGAATGCCGTGAGCAATGCTGTGAGCAGTGTGTGAGTTACAGTGTATCAGTGCCGTGAGTGGTATGTCAATGTAGTGTATCGGGTGCCGTATTGGTAATGCGATGCATCAGATCATGTGTGGAACAGAATATGCAAAGTTTCGGGACTAAGTTTGAAATAACTTACCGGGATCCCATAGATGGTGAGCAGGTCGATGCTCCGCTGCAGCATTCCCATCACGGAAGCTGTCAGCTCCAGAGACTGTCTAGCATACTCGATGGAAGCCTGCAAAAGTGTTGAAATCATTAGTATTCTATAGGATATCAAATGAAATAAAATGACTATACAGAATGAAAAGTATAGTACGTACTGGGGTAGAGCCCTGAACCCCGACAAGCTCATGATCAGCCGGAGGAGGAGCGATGGGTATCTGGTAAGTCTTCCCACCCTATCCTCGGCATGTCATGGTGGTGGGCAGCTCTGGCCACCCGACTCCCTGTCCTCTCCAGGACCCATTCCTCCCACGGGCTTGAGGTGCCCTCGATGCTCCTGCTCCTGCCACTAGCGCCGTAGGCCTCTCTCTCTCAGCTCGGCGAGCACCGGTCAAAGATCGCATCAGATAGGCCTGGATGAACTCCGTGTAGTCGCCCTCGTCTCTAAAGGGCTCAGAGTCCTAGCCAATCGTATAGTCCACCATCTCCTCTAAGGTGTACCTCTTGGTATGCCTCACGTGGGTAGGAGGAGGCGCTGGAACTGTCTGCTCCAGTAAGCCCAGGGTCTGCCGCAAGAAGCGCTCCCCAAAATACCAAACCCGACAAACCGGGCCCTCCAGTAGAATCCTACAACGAGCAGTCTCTCGAGCACCCCCGTACCCATCTCTCACTCTATCGGGAAACACTGCCCAGGGCTGCCAGGTGATCTGCAAATGACAAAATATACAGTTTGTTAATCTGATATTGAAATTATAACGTAAAATGAGGCTTAAATGAACTGAAAGGTTTGAAATACCTCAGCTGTGGTGATGGTATCGAAATAACGGCGGAAGAACAGGAAAGACTCCCTAGGCCTCTGCTCGCACCTCACGTCGAATCGGTGAGAAAAGGGAACCATGTAGGGCGTCTCCACATCAGGCACTGGGGCAAGCCTAGGGAAGTAGGAATACACCCACAACTACAGAATGCAACCGAACAACAGTGGGTACGCTTATCAGATAAAGCAGAATGTAAATAAAGCAGAAATCACAGAACAGTGTGCAGAGTGTGCAGAGTGTGCAGTGTGTGCAGTGTACAGTCAGTGTAAAGCAGATTGCATGTTCGTAGTAGTGTGCAGATTGTGCAGTGTGTGCAATGTACAGTTAGTGTAAAGCAGATAGCATGTTTGCAGTGTGTGCAGTGTACAGATAATGTAAAGTAGAATTGAAAAGACAGAAAGGGAAAATATACCTCATAGGCTGGCTAGTAGCCCCCAAGCAACTGTCCGCTGCGGCGGGAAGATGAGCTCATATATCCATAGAGAGTGGCCAAGCCTGCGCCACCCCAGTCATAGCGCTGGATCCTGGTCACGTCCACCAGTGCGCTCCGGTCGGCAAATAGTGTGGTCCCCAGCAGGAACATGATGAAGCCGCGAGCATACTGCTCCACCTCCTCTCGAGTCGTGGACGCCTGAATCCTGATGTGGTCCTCAAACCAAGAGTACCTCACAAATCCCGGACGGGAGAGAGGAGGTGGTAACACGTCCACGAGGGACCCCGCTACAGTTCGGACTCGATTCGTGTCACGGTTCTTAATTTGAACCAAAGAGTCCAAATCTAGCAAATCGTTTTGAGAAACAGATTTTTGAAAAGAAGTGCCAAACATGGACTGCTTTGCCAGATACAGAGTCGCCACCTAAATATTTTATTTTGAGGGAATTTAGAAAACCCTGACTCGGTGCCAAAGGCCACGTGTCCGTCATCACCAAAGTTGCCTCGGCTCGGGAGTTTGGGTACGATTGGGGAAGGTCAACTATAAGCACCCCCTCTCGCCCGATCCGAAGATCGGCCTCTACTAACCATGATATCCGTTTTTGAAAACGTTATGCGTTCTTATTCCATTTATTAGCCTAGAATTACTATGTTATGCGCGCAGCAAACAAGTATAGACTAGATTGCCTAATTTGGAAAGAAACATTGCATATCCGTTTGTTTTGAAAATGCTTTGGAATTTGCTACTCGCAAGTAGGCTAAAACACGGATTTCAATGAGTTTTTCCAACTCAAACAATCCAACCTTCACCCACAGGCATTCAAACAGTTTAACACATAAGCATTTAGCCGCATGGCAAGCATACTGTCATGTTAACATTCACACACATGCGAGATGCTAAAGCATAAATACTTACATCGTACTCCGTGCCAAAACAGTAAACTAGTTAGCAAAACATGCGTGTCCTATTGACGCAGAAAGGGGTCAAGTTTGAGTTAGCAATCAATGCATGATCCAAGTCCATGTTTAAATGTCTAATGCAACGCATACGGAATGTCACTAGAGTAGGCTCGGCTATTCTATGAATGACATGTGAAAATGCACAAGTAGCATGTATTCAAGTTAGATTTGAAATACTAATGCAGTTAGTATGATGCGCCGAGCCCGGTGCATGCAAGACAAATATGTGGATGCACGCATGCATAGCATAAGGTATGCTAAATTAAACATGACTTATTACTAACCATCAAAGCAGGTAAGTAAAAGGGAGAAAGAAGTGGGGGTTGAAAGACATGTACACACTCACCCACACTTATTACAAATTCGCCCTCGCTCGGAGGGACCAAAAGAATAATACAATACGAATAATGAATTAACTAACCTAACTAATTAATTATTACAGACCAACTAAATTAATTAACTTAAGAAAGCAAGGAAAAAGGGCCTCGGGAAGAGGGCTCAATGCATGCGTGCTCGGGTCTCGCTCGGAAGTCCACTGCCATGCGCAAGCTGCCTCTGTTTTCCCTGCTCTGCCCCTCTGAAAACTTCCAAAGTCTCAGAATTGCTTCCCTGGACATTGGGGGACACCACCGGCTGAGGAGAATGGCCACCGACAGTAAGATGTGATCATTGGCTGTTGATGAAGCTATCGGCCACAGATAGATTGCCGGTCGGCACTATATGCAGTCGATCGGCAGAAAGTTCCTGCAGAATCTGTTTGACAGCAGCAGAGGACAGAGCTTCGCATGGCAATGCAATTCAAGCAATGTATGCACCAACCATATCCCTTATCATGTTTAGTACTTAAAGGGACATGGTCCTTGGTTCTCGGACCATCCATCGCGCATTTCAATGCGTGATGGCCCAAGAGACCAAATTATGCATTTTGATTTCAAATGACATGCAAACCAATTAAACACATAAAGCCCAACCTCTATCATACTCAATTCAAGAGGCAAAGCATGCATGCTCTATGCAATGCAACCTAGGCATGGAGGCTAAGTATGCAACATGAACATGAGAACAAGTATGCAAGTTAGCAAACATGCAAAGTGTAATCTTAACCATGTACACATGCAAGGCATGTAACATGTTAGGAAACTTAGCAAGAAATGCATGCCAAATGCAACACCATTTAAACATGCAACAAAATGTCATGAGCCAAGTACCTAAGCATGCAAACATGCATGCAAACATGGTTGAATACCTAAGCATATAGAAGCAACTTTCAAGCACACTTAAAAGGGGCAAACATTGGCACATAGTATACATGATAAGCTTTGAAAAACATGTAGAAGATGATGCCAAATCAACCTACCAATGCAAGCAAAGCTTGCATCCAAGCCCAAGGACTTAAACTATGATCATGTGACACACGAAGCAAATGATCAAAGTGAATCAAAACAGTCCCAAATCATGCCAAATTAAGGTCAAAGACACAACTAGATGGCATCTAAATGGCCTATACATGGAAGCATACAAAAGGGGCCAAACATGGAGCATAAGATACCAACCTCTTAAAGCATTAAAGGAGCATCAAATGCAAGCATACAAGCATGCTATAAGGACTGAAATGACATGATAAGTTGTTCCAAACCACTGAAACAAAGCAAGTAAAGCATGCTAGAAGGGTCAACACTCAAGGCCTACAAGGGAGATTGCATGGTAGCTATACAAAGCAAAGCATGGATGACCCAAATGACCAAAAACAGACCTCAAGCACACTAAAACATGCATAAAAGCTTCACAAAGCTAAGCCAAAACAAGTAAGCATAGTGGTCTAAATGCTAAGCACATGTTAAGGCAATTCATGGCATTACAAGACAAGTATGCATAGCAAGCATGGTGTGTCTAAACCAACTTAAAACAATGCTATTTCATGGAAAAATAGGCATAAATAACAGCTAAGGCATGGTCAACAAGAGCCTAAGTTAGGTGCTCCCTCAAGAGGTAAAAAATGCCCTTTTCAAGGACAACAAGGAGAGGGGGTGGCCCTCTCCTTCTTGGGACCTCAAGGCACCATCCTCACCTCTGAAATCCCTCAAATGAAATTGAACAAACATGCGGTCTACGCAATCAAAACATGCGGTCTACGCAGGTAATGAAATTAAACAAACATGCGGTCTACGCGAGTAGTGTGTATGAGAAGAGTTAAATGTACACATGTAAGTAAAAACATGTTATTCACAATGCTGGAATGTAAAGTACTGTAACACAGCATAATTGAAACGATTTGTGGAATCCACAAGACATGAAAAGGATACGGGAAGGGACGTTCTTCGTACGTACCGAGCAAAGATAGGTCAAAAGCCAATGCAAGATTGGGGAAACTAAAGTGAAAGTCTTACCCTTGAAGAACACTTCAAGAACAGTTGGTCCAGCCACACTCTACTGAGCAAAATCAGTCCAAAATCTCAAAAAACAACCCTCAATGCCTCTCAATCTCGGAGCAAGGTGTAATGGTTTGTGTATTAGTGCATAAGTAAGGTCAAAATGCACTTTTAGGCCAAGAAAACGCACACAAGGGAGGAGAGAGAGGGAAATATGTATCAACCGTAACCCCAATCCAAAGCTCCCTCTGAAATTTTTGTAACCCTAATGCCAAGAGAGGAAGCCTCTTCTTATAGGCAACTCCCTCTTGTAAGGCTTCCAAAACAAGCCATCCAAGAGGGAAATCCCTCCATACACGTGTGTGGAGGGGAACAGAGTGGGTGCCAGCTGTAGCTGGCACAAAATATCTACTAAAAGTAGATGAACAGTGGTCGGCCATCCAAAATTGCCACTTTGACAAAATAAATGGCCGACCGGCAACAAATAGTGTTGACCGGCAATATATATTGTCGATGGCATAGAATCACTAGCCGGTGGACTCAAGCCATGGCCGGTGATGTGTAGGGATGCCTCACAAGGCATTCCCTGCCCCTCCAAGGAAAAACACAAGTGTTTGGTGTAAAACTAGGCAAAACACGGTCGAGTCGAGAGATCCTAAGGCAAGGCGCGCAACCAAGACCTCCGGGAACTCGAGACGAACACAAGCACGGATGATCACCGAGTGTTCCAACGGTGACGTCCAAGTCTTGAGGACGGTCAAAAATGGGGTGTCTACAGAGGTCGATCGCCAAGCAAGCCTATCTGGGCGGCGTCTCACTCGTCCATATCCGTGTCAAAAGGGATCGGATCACCTCCTACTCCGATGCCTGTGAGCATGGAGAAGTCAAAGGGAGGCATCGTCATCTCCCCAGTAGCAGAAAGGTAGAAGGAGTCGGTGGTGTCCCACCACTTCTCCACCAGTGTGCCCAGAAGAGGCCTACTCGCAGTGAGGCGCGAGAGTTCCCTGTAAAAAATGCCGAAGCCGGCATGATCAACGTTGTCACGGACTGCATCAGGCAGCTCCATGTACCAACCGCGGGCGATGATGTTCCCAAACCCCCAGAAGGCATGGGA